TCCTAAAAACTCTTCCGCTGCTTACAACATTAGCATTATGCTCCACAAATCTTCTCCCTTTGGAACATGTTCTGGCAAATATTTACAATACCATTTACACGAGGAATGCTCGACAATGATGCACATTCCTGCATAGGTCAGTAAGAATGTACATCAAAATCACTCCCGTTGAACCACCACCATGGAACCAAATTCAGAAAGGCAACTAGTACAGCAACAGGAAAGCAGTCTAAAAAATCAAGTAAAAGAAGCAAACAGGAATGGCATTTTATTGCACAATTCTAAATTCAGGTACAAAATGTCAAGAAGTCTGCGCATTTTCTACAGGTACCTTCAGAGTGTTACTGTTTACATGAATCCCACTACTCTGATTTGTGGATTTTAGAAGATAGTTTATTTGCTCTTAATTCTAACTAGAGGCTTCACAGATATCAATTAATGAACATTAAATTTAATAATTTAAAAAAAGGCCTCAGTTTACTCCACTAGTTATAGTACTTCAAGAAAACTCACATCATTCATTTCAACAAAGAATCCCAAAAATGATAACATCAAAAACATTAAGCAGAAGAGTGCACCTTCACTTCACAAACAACAACAACATCTAATTAATCAAAGTCGGAATACAAAACCTTCGAATGCAAAAGAAAACGTTGGGTAGAGAATGCAATAGCAAGAGAGATTGAACCCTTCTCCTGAGGTTTTTGCTCATTCGAATCCTCTCTCTTCTCTATCTCTTCTCGTTTCGCTCCCTTCAATCTCTTCAGTCAAGAATTTATTGGAGATTGAATCTTTGAGATCCATAAAGGAAAAAGGAAAAAAAAGGAATGTAAGCAAAGCAAAGGTTTGATGATGAAGAAGAACAAGAGAAGATGAAGAATTAGGGATGTATAGGAATCAAAAAATTGGCGATTAATTGAAAAGGAATGATAAAGAAAGAAAGACGAGAAAGGCTAGTAATGAAGGCGGCTGAGATTCGAAGAGCAATGCAGCTTGTCAAACTAGCTCATAATAAGAAAGTCGATTCGATTTCGATCTTATGCCGAATCGGTGGTGTGCGATCTTCAACAATAATAATCGATCTTACTGCGGAGAACAATCAAATGACATTCGCGTCGATTGCCATAGTATAGATAATCGAACTAACATGTAAATTTATATTTGCTTTGAATCTGTGATACTACTCTTTTGAGGAGACAACTTACTTTTATTTCTCTATATTCTCTTAGAGTGAGTGTTGAATTTTAGTAGAAAAACAATATCATTGCCATTTGTTTTTCTAGATTATCCTCTTGAGGTGTTGTTGGAAGCTGTCTCTCAACTCTTCTAGTTGATATGATTTTATTCTCTTCCTAGAAAACTTCTATTTTGCTGTTGATGGAACCAAAGTTTTCTTGATTCACCATCACAACAGCACCTAGCTAAGTCAACTAATTTGTTAATGTTATTCTATTTTTTGTTTTTTTTTTTAAATTTATATTAAGAGGCAAGTGCTGAATTGTGTGTCAGTGATGTAAATCAAAATCATAATATCTTAGTAAGCTACATTTGGTGTTGAAATTCAAAAAAGAAAATAAAAAACATATAATAGTATATTATATGGGTTTACCCATGTTTGGTTGCTCAGAAAATTGGCCAAATTCTTTTGAATTATGCTTATTATAGTAGTAATAGATATATATACCTTTGTTTGGGTTATGAGAAAATGGGCCGAAATATGAAAACACAAACTTGATTATAAGTGGAACTGTTCTATCAAACTTAAGTACTTAGCTGATTTTGGAACTGAAAAACCTGTAAATGCATCCCTTGTTGGGCAGTTGAGAAAACAGGGAAAACTTAAGGAAGCTTAATTTTGAATGAATGCTATGTAGATAATAGAAAGAATACAATCGAGAAGTCAATGCTTTCAAATACAAATTGTTTTCCCAAATTTTAGGACTTACATTTTGTCGGGTACCAATCGATTTATGAGTAAATTTGCAGGTTGTTTTTTTTTTTTGGGTGATTGCAGTTAATTTGCTAAAACCCTTCGCTTGGTTGCTGAGAAATGGGTGAAATAATAAAAAACAAATGAGTTGCTGAACTATGAAAAACAGAAGTTGCCATCAAGTGCAGCAATTCTATTGAAGTTCACTTGGTTGCAAGAAGATATCTATAAAGAAAGAAAGACTAGAAGTAGAGGAGAGAAAGAGACACAAACAGAGACAGTAAGAGTGAGTCCTGAAACTAACAGGAGCAAGAAAATTGATGGTTATGAATTTGTAAAAGTAGTTATGGCAACTGAGTAGGATCAAGTGATTTTAGACATGTCATAATTTTAATTTTTTCAAATTCAGGGGGAATGGAGCTGAATATTTTTTGGTCACTATGTCTTATGACTATGGTTAATAAAAAGGGTAGTGCCATAATCATTGGGGTTAACCTGTCGACCATTTCATTAGGATGTCAACAGTCAATTTTCTCCAAGTGCGTGTGAGATTTTGGTTTTATTTGGAGGAGTCTTGGAGTTTATGTAACTTGTATTGTTCAATTTGTGGGGTTTGAAGAGGGTGTGGTGTGGGGATTTTCTTGAAAAATCCAACTTTTCGAGTTTTGCATCATGGCCATGGCCGAGAAATTGTTAAAACACCTTGGTAATGTTCCAAACAATTTGTTCTCTACAATGTCTAAGATTTGAAGAGGGCTGAGGTGACAGTTCCGTGGCAATTTGGCCATTGAACTTATTTAAACCTTTAAACCAAGGAAAATGAATCACTCATTTGCAAAACCTAAAAGGAAAATGAATATTTACCAGAAGCAATATTGTTTGAATTTGATGAATGACTTGCTAATGCTAACATTTCATACCATAATATATAGTTGTGCACTTGGAGTGCTCTTTATTATCATTTTATTTTTATCATGAAGTTCACTTAATTTGATCATGTCTGAGAATGTAGCTAAAATTTCTAGTGCGGCAGAGTCGATGTCTTTTGCACTGTCTGATTTAAGGGCATTTAATGTCAACTTTTACAAGCATGTAATGTCTCTGTCCATATCCTAGCCATAAAAGTGGACTGCCAACAAGCTGGTCCTGTTCTCTCTTTAATTTGAGCTGCCTGTCAGTCACCATGTTGATTGAGTTTGATTTTTCAAGATCCTTCCATTGTGGACTTCCATGCTACAAAGTAAAGTCCTTGAGGTTCATTGAAATCTATACGCTTGGTTGGAACATGAAACATTCGGGAAGTGTTTTGTGGTTGTGTGTGTGTGTGTGGAAAGCACGGTAGTTTCATCTGCATCAAATTCCTATTAGATTTTTTTTTTTTTTTTGGAGGGGGGTCTATTGCTTTATTTCCAGAATGATGTTCTGGCTTTGGATTCTTCAGCCCTAGACATTGATCAAGTAGAAAATCTCATTAAATTTTGTCATACAAAAGAAGAAATGACAATGCTTAAGGTACACCCCCCTCCCCCTCTCTCTCTCTCTCTCTCTCTCTCTCTCAATTTGTTGGTTTTGAGTTGTAATTATGTGATATTTTGATGTCATAGTATTTATCTTAGGCATATCATGAAAAATGAAAAGGTTTTGTATTAACTTCAAAATTACTCATTTGTTGTAGGTTTCTTGAGCTGTGGTACATTTTTATCTGGTGTACTCCTTTCTTCTTCTCTCTTAAGATGATTTCAAAATTATGTCTTAACTATTTTATTGGTTTCTTACTGATTTTTCTTTCTTTCAGAACTACAATGGGACCAACAATATGCTTGGAAAGTGTGAACAGGTTTTTGTTTTGTCTTGATGATGGAGGGAAGGGAAGTGCAAAAATCTTGTATATGTATTGCTAACAAATTTTGTGCTTGATGAACATTTTAGTTTTTCCTGGAGTTAATGAATGTCCCACGAGTGGAGTCCAAATTGCGAGTATTTGCATTCAGAATTACTTTTTCCAGTCAGGTATATTGATCTGGGACTTTTTTTTTTTGTTGGTATTATCTAAGAACAAATGCTATTATTATTTCTAGTTGTTTGTGCTTATAGCTTCAAACTTGTTCAGGTGAGTGACTTAAGATGTAACCTGAACACAATTAATGCTGCTGCTAGAGAGGTACTTCCTTTTATTTAGGGTTTGTGAAGTTAGTACTAGTGAGAAATCCTTTTCAGTACCTTAATATCATACCCGTTATTGTAGGTAAAAGAATCTACAAAATTGCGTCAAGTAATGCAGACGATTCTCACTTTAGGAAATGCATTGAACCAAGGCACTGCTCGAGGTATTATTCTATGAGATTGAAGTTTGTTATGATCTATATGAGATATTTTGTTTAGTGGAAAGCTTTTGGCATTTATGTCCTCCTTTGTATTTCAGGATCTGCGATAGGATTCAAATTGGACAGCCTACTTAAGCTATCTGATACTCATGCAAGGAACAATAAAATGACATTGATGCATTAGTTGTGCAAGGTCGGAATGTCAAAATTCTCACTTAAAAATGCGTCATTGAATTTTTATTTGCATATGTATGAATTATTTTACAGTTAATGATGACTTATCTTGCCGAGCTCACCATCATTTAAGTCAATAATCACTCAATCATAGCGACCTCAGGAACTTGATTTATGCCCAGGAGTCGGCATACAATGTTTTCTGTAAAAGAGAACAATTTAGAAATATGCTTGAAAGGAAAAATGCTCACTCTTCTTTTTGTAAAGGAATTTTTGGTTACTACTTGCTAGATATTTGTCTGATAACACGTAACACTGAAGTTTTCTTTATGAAACAAAATTTGTTTATCTGACATTCTTGAGTTTTTAGAGAGTAATTTTGTATGTACAAATTTATAATGGTTCTTTAAATTGTTTTGCATGTATTAACTGTTTTCTCTTCTTGAATAGTTCACCATATGTGTTTAACAGCTTCCATTTTGTTGTGCATGTTCAACATCTTTTTTGTATTTTATTCTTCCAATGTTTCTTTGAATTCTTGTGTGATGCTATGTCAATTGCTTTGCTGTTTTCATTAGCTCATTGCCGAGAAGATGCCAGAGTTGCTGGATTTTGATAAGGATTTTGTTCATTTGGAAGCAACCTCTAAGGTTTGCATTTTTCTTAATGTACAATGTGAATGGGGTGTCTCTAGTTGAGTTGTACAATTTATTGCTTGTTCCATCTGCATATCAAATGGTTAGATCCTATTGAAGTCTTTAGCTGAAGAAATGCAAGCTGTGAGTAAAGGTCTTGAAAAGGTTGAGCAGGAACGCACTGCTTCAGAAAATGATGGTGCCATCTCTGCAGGCTTCCAAAAGGTAGGGGACATACTTGGGACACTAGGTTACTCTTTTTTTTCATTTTTTTTATTCCAGATTTATGTTGGATCTTCATAGATGTACATAATTCTAGTTTGATGACAAAACTGGTGTATGTTTGTTGACGGTGATGCTGAGATATAAAATAAAGGGGATTTGCCAATACTGAAATTTTAATCTTAGTGGAAAATTCAGCAGTAAATTTGGTTTGATTTTGCTGAGGAATATTAGCCATGCTGACATTAAGTTGATGATGGTGCGGTAATCAGTTAGAATAAATGAAAAGTGGACTTGGCAGAAATTTTCTAGTGGAAGTCTTAGTTGAGGTTGGGAGAGTGTTGTAAGCAATGTAAATTCTATCATCATCTTTGTGGTATAGAGGCTCGGTCACAGTTATCAAAGTCAAAATCACTTTTAAACAATTATTGAAAATGAAATCATATCCGTATGGCTTGCACAAGAATCTTAACAGCATCATTTGTTCTTATGTTTTAGATTCATGTCATGTAAGCTTGTGTTTTCTAGTTATGGAATTTAGTTGTTTTTACCTTGAAACCATTATGGTCTCTGTTATCGCTTCTCCTTGATTTTGAATGTCGAGTCTTTAAATTTCATAGAAGTCGAATTGCACAAAAGAAAAAAAAATGTTTGTTTTTAATGCAAAGCTAAGAATCAGTACTCGACCTTTCAGGCCTTGAAGAATTTCCTTGATACTGCTGAAGCTGAAGGTCCCTTATCTCCTTGTGCTCTGAAGTGGTGAGCCTTCTTTTTTTCTTTTGTTAAAATCTGCAGGTTCTTGCTTAGTTAAGTTTCCTGACACATTTATCTTGCTGGGAAGAAGTGCAGATTCATTGTCTCAGTATTTTGGGGAGGATCCAGCTAGGTGTCCTTGTGAACAAGGTTTGGTTTTATTTTCCACATTTATGTACTTAATTTTCTGTTGCTGTCAAGTAGGGAAGTTCACTACATTTCTTTTGATCTGCCACAAGGATTATGTTAGAGATGTATCTGGATGTAGGTTAGATTAGATGATGGAAGTGAAAATGCTAACATATTTCATTGCATGAGTCTAGCTAACTTTGTTAGGAGCCAAATTTCATTGAAATATTTCTAACAGTGTCACCAAAAAATGCTAATACCTTAGAGATTTAGGTTTTGGAATGTGTGTTTTGAAACATGGTATATTTTCTTTCCGAAACGGTGAATCCAAAGTGATAACAAAAAAATTTTGGTGACCAAATTTGGCGACTAAAAAAAATTTAGTCGCCAAAAATGTCACCTTTTGCGACTAAAAATTTTTTTAGTTGGCGTTGTTTTGGGGTATAGCTACTAAAACTTTTTAGTCGATATATATTACTTATTGGCGACTAAAAAGTTTATTAGTCGCCGTTAGTGTACACTTTAGGCTACTGAATCTGTTTTTTGTCATCTATAATATTTTTTGCCGACAAAAAAAATTTAGTCACCAAAAACAAGCATATTATTATGATTTCTCTTTGGTGACCAAACAAATTAGTCGGCAAATATTAAGTTTTGGTGACAAAATAAAATCAGTCGTGCTTATTTTACTTTTTCTGACCAAAATATTTATTAGTCATCAATTAAAACTTTTGGCGACAAATATTTTAGTCGCCGTTGATTTAGATTTGGCTACAAAACTTAATAGTCGTCATGGATATACATTTTCCGACAAAAAATTTAGTCACTAAAGTTAAACAAAAAAGAAGAAGAAGAGGGAATTCATTTATTGGCTCCCGTCCCTTTCTCTATTAGACAACAAGGAAGTTCAAAACTCTCACAGATATTGTCCTTCACCACCAAACCTCACAGAAAAGCACCTATCCACAGCCCACCGTACGGAGCACATCGCCACGGCCACTGTCGCAAATCACCACCGCCACAGCCTCAGATCACAGGTTCTCTCTCTCTCTCTCACTCTCTGTCTATCTGTCTCTCTCGCGCTCTCTCTCTCTGTGTCTCTCTCTCTCTCTCCCTTCCTCTATTTCCCCCTTTCTAATTGTTGCTTTAGGGTTTTATATGCTTGATTCAATTTAATTTCGTGTTGATTTATGAAATTGGTTTGGTTGTTGTAGCTTGATTTCGAAACTTCTAGTGTTTGATTTCTAGACATAAATCCCAAATTCAAGCTCAAAACAGGCCATCCTGCTGGGTAGCTTGGAGGATCATCTCTTTGGTAATATTTGACTATGAAATGTAATCCTTAAAATTTAATGTATATTATTTCTTTTACTTGATTTTTAGACTGCTTTCCTGTGCTGTACTAGTTGCCTTTCTGAATTGGTTCCATGGTGGTGGTCAACGTGAGTGATTTTGATGTACATTCTTACTGACCTATGCAGAATGTGCATCACTGTCAAGCATTCCTCGTGGTAAATGGTATTGTAAATATTGCCAGAACATGTTCCAAAGGGAGAAGTTTGTGGAGCATAATGCGAATGTTGTAGCAGCTGGAAGAGTTTTAGGAGTTGATTTTATTGAACAGATAACCAAGCGCTGCATTCGAATTGTCAAAAATCCAGAAGATGCTGAGGTCATTGCATGTGTTTTGTGCAGGTACTGGTTACGCTATGCAAGATTAATTATCAATCCTTAGATTTTCTTCATGATTTTATATTACTGTTCATTCTGAGTCTGACATTGTGCTTATATTAAACTTTACCTTTAGTTAATATCATCCTTTTTTCTTTTTTTTTAATGTTCTTCATTTGTTGGTTTATCTAGAGGTTGATCTTTTTCAATCTGCTTTATGCAGAGGTTATCACTTTAGAAAATCTGGATTTGGTCCACACACAGTAATAGTCTGTGATCAGGTACTCTCTGTTCTTTATGTTAGTTCCTTCTTTTTTTTATTTAATTTATTTTTTCATCCGAGTTACAAAGTGATTTGAATCATAGTTGTCAAATTATGAATTGAAATTTCCCTTTCGTTGAATTGTGAATCGATTTGGGTTGCAAACCGTAAAGATTCTGTTTTAATTTTTGATACATAAAAATATATCTAAACATATAGATATTAAAGATACACTCTAAATAAATGAATTGCTTCTTTTAAATGATGGACATGGGTGTAATAGGGAAGATGCTTCTGTCTATGTTTAGTTTCATATATTACGAATAACAATCTTTTTAAATTAATGGCGTTTGAAATCTAACTCCCTTTTGACCATGCTTTTGCTACTTAGTATAGAATGAAGAGTGTTCCTGTGGTCGATCTAGGAGAAAGGAAGATTGATATCATCATCACACAATCTGCTGTTATTCACATGTTGGAGGAATGCGTCGGTCTTTTACCTGTCTAGTGTTGTTTAATTTTTCTTGTGCAGTTGGATGAGCACTCGTCCTATGAAAGAATTTGTTTCCATGTTTAAAGAAGGTTCCTTCTGAGGTAGGTACCTATGACCTCCAAATTCCTGATCTTTTTTTTTTTTGTTCATCTCATTGTGAAATTTTGTGGTGTAGATTATGGAGAAACTTATGGGTCATTCACAACACTGGATGTTCTTGCTAAGAACTATTTTTCTATTTAGTTCACTATCCATAGAAAATCCTAAATGGTTGAGAAGTGCTATGTTGGGTTGTGTTTAATTTGATCTTTTTCTTATGGTCAATAACAATTAATTTGATCCGCCTCTTCCTGCAGGCTTCACAATGAAAAAAAAGGGTCTGTTATGTCCCCTTTTGCTTTTGGCTGTCTGTCATGCTGTCTGTCAAGTCTATAGACATTTTTTTGGACATCATCACATACTTAGCTATGTGGCACGTAATCTAGAGCAACTAGATGTAGTAAGTTCATTATTTATAGGATACGTGCAACGTGTCTAGGATTGCTTGAGAGAATGTGGATTTGTCCATATGGCCTGAGGATAATTTTTGAGAATTGATATTCACTCTACTTTAAACTTCGCACACTCCAATTTTTGTCTTTTAGCCTTTCACAAGGGGAGTGTGAGAGGCTAAATGTGGAATGTTAACAGCATCACTCTTAATTTCTTAGACACAAGAATCTAGCTACCTATTAATACAAAAGCTGATCACTGCTCAATAGTTGTTCAATACATCTCCAAAACCATATTTTTTTTGTCCTTGATTCAACTTTTAAGCATCATAGTTCCTCAACCCTAGTACCCTAGCTTACAAAAGATCACAAAGCCACAAGGGAAAAAGGATAAATGCACAAAATTTTTTCATAGAAGAGACACGAAGAGTGGGCCCACATGTGGATCCTACGCTTTGTCTCTCTTCTGTTCTGTGCACTATTAATACAAAAGCTGATCACTGCTCAATGGTTGTTCAATACATCTCCAAAACCATATTTTTTTTGTCCTTGATTCAACTTTTAAGCATCATAGTTTCTCAACCCTAGTACCCTAGGTTACAAAAGATCACAAAGGCACAAGGGAAAAAGGAAAATGCACAAAAAATTTTCATAGAAGAGACACGAAGAGTGGGCCCACATGTGGATCCTACGCTTTGTCTCTCTTCTGTTCTGTGCAAAAATTTTGTTCTGTGCATGTAGCACAAATGGGCACAAGGTCACTGTTCATGGGTACTGATCACATTGCCCATAACAACCCTCAAACAGCCACTACAACCTTGTGTTCTCAGCCACAAAAGCCAATCAAATTCAGCCAGTGTGCCTCACTCATTCTACATCAATTGTAAACTTGCAATTACTTTTTAAGGTTTTAGTGAACTTTAACTTAGAGGAGTGCTCGACTCTTAGCACACACAATGAATGTCGGCAATGTCTCTTGGTAGTTGTACCAGAGACCAGGAATTGGCTCCTAAATGTGAGGTTGACCTCTCTGCTTGACAAAAAAGAGGCCCAGCTCTTGGCCATGAATGAACAATGCAAGGTGATGGCTTTGAGCGCTTTGAATATTTAGTTTGGTAGTAGGGTCTTGATTGCATGTTGCCTTAATGTTTTTTCTGCTCAGCCCACTTGCTGACCTTCCTTGGGAGTCGGCAAATAATATTGGGCCACAAAATCTACTTTCTTGAATGTACCATGGAGAGGAACGTGGGGAGCTCAAGCTCATTATTTAAAAATACTTTTGTGTTGTGATGTTGTTGACTGGATATGGGGTCAACACACCAGCATTTCATCTGTTGCTCTTCTTCTATTCCCTTCATCAATGACTCCCATTTCATACTTCTTGTTTTATGTACTGCGAGATTTATTTGGCTTTCTTTAAAATAATTTGTTTTATCAATATGCTATCTTCCGGAATTGTCATGTAAGACTAGTAATCGTTTCTTTTCTCTTTCTTTCTTTTGTGTTTTTTTTTTTTTTTTTTTTTTTTTTTTGATAAGTAAATGAAAAAATGCTAGTAATGTAATTTAATTTCCATTGCCAAGCATATACTAGGAACTGAATGAATTTCATAAGGGAGGGTTATGCTCTTGCACACATGTTTTGTTCTTGTATAGATTATCGAACTAACATGTAAATTTATATTTGCTCTGAATCTGTGATACTACTCTTTTGAGGAGACAACTTACTTTTATTTCTCTATGTTATCTTAGAGTGAGTGTTGAATTTTAGTAGAAAAACAATATCATTGCCATTTGTTTTTCTAGATTATCCTCTTGAGGTGTTGTTGGAAGCTGTCTCTCAACTCTTCTAGTTGATATGATTTTATTCTCTTCCTAGAAAACTTCTATTTTGCTGTTGATGGAACCAAAGTCTTCTTGATTCACCATCACAACAGCACCTAGCTAAGTCAACTAATTTGTTAATGTTATTCTATTTTTTTTTTTAATTTATATTAAGAGGCAAGTGCTGAATTGTGTGTCAGTGATGTAAATAAAAATCATAATATCTCAGTAAGCTACATTTGGTGTTGAAATTCAAAAAAGAAAATAAAAAACATATCATAGTATATGATAAGGGTTTACCCATGTTTGGTTGCTCAGAAAATTGGCCCAATTCTTTTGAATTAAGCTTATTATAGTAGTAATAGATATATATACCTTTGTTTGGGTAGTGAGAAAATGGGCTGAAATATGAAAACACGAACTTGATTATAAGTGGAACTGTTCTATCAAACTTAAGTACTTAGCTGATTTTGGAACTGAAAAACCTGTAAATGCGTCCCTTGTTGGGCTGCTGAGAAAACAGGGAAAACTTAAGGAAGCTTAATTTTGAATGAATGCTATGTAGATAATAGAAAGAATACAATCGAGAAGTCAATGCTTTCAAATACAAATTGTTTTCCCAAATTTTAGGACTTACATTTTTTCGGGTACCAAACGATTTATGAGTAAATTTGTAGTTTTTTTTTTTTTGGGTGATTGCAGTTAATTTGCTAAAACCCTTCACTTGGTTGCTAAGAAATGGGTGAAATAATAAAAAACAAATGAGTTGCTGAACTATGAAAAACAGAAGTTGACATCAAGTGCAGCAATTCTATTGAAGTTCACTTGGTTGCAAGAAGATATCTATAAAGAAAGAAAGGCTAGAAGTAGAGGAGAGAAAGAGACACAAACAGAGACAGTAAGAGTGTAGGTAACATGGTTGCAACCTTGTCTGCTTGGCCCTGGGAGAAATTGGGCCCATTCAAGGTAAATGGAAGCTGTTATACGACCTATCTATCTTCCTATGCCTTCATTCCTTCTGTGTTTATTTTCATTCCCAGGATTCTCTCTCTTCCCCCCCCCCTCAAAATAAAAAAATAAAAAAATAAAAAATAAAAAATAAAAATAAAAATTCAATTTGCTGTTTCTATTGATATTAGTTCTTAATGATATGAGATTAGATTTTGCTCTCATTTTGTTTTTTTCTTTTTTTCTTTTGGGTGCAGTATCTGATATATGGAGTCGTCTTTGCAAAAGTCATATATTCAAGAATGCAAAAGGATATCTATATATCTGATAGCCGTCAAAGGATTGTTAGCAGCCACTTGATGTTAGCAATGAATTTACCTTCAATGTAATATATAGGATTCTTTCAGGTAAAATTACCTATTTACTTATGGATGGAAACTTATTACATTTTCTTTAATGACAGCATAAGAAAATAATTAACATTCTTGAAAGTTTATCTGGCTTGGATTGAGATCTTCATGATATGCGTTTTAATCTATTATTTGTTAAATATGTAAATCGTAATTAAGATTATATCTTAGGCATAGGATTTTTTTTATCACTCAAACACTCAAGTGCCTCTAAATTTTCTTTGATTTGCTGAGTTCAAAATTTTTTGCTATTTTGTTTCTGATATTTCTATATTGGTACTTTTGAAGCAAGAGATGATGATGCATTGCTATTCTTTGCTTCTGCTATTGATGGATTAACTTTGACTCTAGGGATGCTACTTTAACATACAAAGCTGAGGCTTTGGAATTGCAGAGACAGCTTAGGCAACTGCAGACTCAGTATGATATGCTCTCTGGTCAGGCTTCAGCTTTGATCCAAGGAAGAAGGGCACGAGTTGTGGCAACATCTAGTGTGCTTAAGAATACCAATGTGAGACTTAAAGACACTGTTAATCAGGTGATTGAGCCAGTATTTTCTACAGATTTGAATCAATTTGTGTTCCAAGGATGGGGTGGGGGTAGGAAATTTCAACCTATATTCAGTTGTGCTTTGTTGTAGATCCCTTTACTAGATTTGATGGAGAGTTTTCCTTTTGTTCCAGCTAAGGTCTAGTCGAAATTTCTTTATTGATATTATACTGTTGTGCGTAATTCTTGGGATTGTTGCTTATCTGTACAAGTAAGTCTCACTCTCTCTCAATGGAAAGTAAACACTTCATCACATTTTGTTCGTATCTGACATGCTTAACGGACTGCAGAAAACAATTTCATGCATGAAAGGGTGAACTTGTTATTAGACACAAAAAACTTTACTTGTAAACTAAACTGAGTGCATAGTTAATTTGGTTGGATTTTCATGCAGACAAGAAATGCAACAGGGTTAGTTGCTTTAGCTATTGTTGTGGGTTTATGTGTCTTAACACATACATTGGGCACCCTCGTCCCTGTGATAAGAGCAAGTGGATTTGCTACAACTACAGCTGAAGCTGCAACTGCTTTAGGAACTGTTGTCGGTAGTTTTAGATATTCTCTTAATAGTTGTCGATATGTTTAGAAAGTTAGATATGCATAGTTTTGGATGGTTTAAACTTTTTGTATAGTTTAGAACTTAAGGATATGGTTTTTAAATGTTTAGAATGTATAGACAATTGCTGAATGTTTATAATTTAATAATACAGTTTCTTTTTGATGTTTCAAATAATATTTTGGTGATTGATTGATGTTTTGTGATGCTTGTTTGTAATATTTGTTAGATTGTACAAAATTGGTCAAATAAAACCTGCTGAATTTGATTGTAATATTAGATTGTACAAAACAGGTCAAATATAGAATCTGTTGAATTTTAAAAAAAAAAATGCACATTTTACGACAAGCAAATTAGGTCATTATATGAAATATTCCAAAGCATTTCACGTATGCCGTGGTATGTTCTACTTATCTATGGCAGGCTGAGCAAGTCGTTGTATTATATATTTTACAGCGCGCAATCAGCGTTGTTGTTTGTCACATCAATTAACGGCGTGCAAAAGTAGTCGTAGAAAAAGTAACGACGCACAAAATCTGTCATTAAATAGTTTTTAACGGCGTACGAAGCATGTCGTTGAAAGTGAATGACTTTCCATGACTGGTCGTAATATGACAAGTGCCTGCACGTCGTAGAAAGGTTTTTACGTGTATTGCGCGCCGTAAAAATCTTTTTTTGCTGTAGTGTAATAAGTTTGAACCATACACTTGTTAACACTCATCATATTTCTATAGATTCACAAATTACCATTTTTAATTTGCTCTAGGCTTGATACCAAACCTTTTGAATTAGTTCTTGCAAACTTGATAGGCCTTCATCAAGACTTTCTTAACTATCTTTTGTAGGCCTAACATAGCTTCATTAAGAACTTCTAAATCCTAAATGCCTCTCAAGTATACACTAAGATCTTAGACCTCATTGCACAAGCTCAAGTATTCATGAACTAACATCTGAACTTTGACCTTTTTTCTCTCATCCAGTCTTGGGTGAATTATTTACAATAGAAGGTTGCAGTGGAAAACTAATTCTTCTATTTAAAACTCTTGGCATACTATTAAGGAAGCCTTTTTAATGTGTTAGAAGGCCTGAAATGTTGATCACGTTTGAAACTACCATTGGGCCTTTTCAAACATTCTGAAAGGCCAAGACTCCTACATGAAAGCCCTATTCCATTACAAGGCCTATTCATTGGGCTAGAATGTTTAAAGTACTTTTTAGGTTTGAGTGATGTTATGTCTTTTCAAAACTTCTGGAAGGCCAAGACTCCAAATAGGCTCTTCAAACATGAGATAACTTGCAATTTTTTTATTTGAATAACGAAATTTATTATAGGCCAAACTTTCTTACTTGATTTATACTCTTTGCTTCCTTTAATACATCCTTTAAGATTTTTCATGAATCCTTTTGGAGAATGGAGATGTTTGTTCGACCTATGAAATACTTCATGCGACTTGAGGCTTTTTGCAACCACCTTCTTGTTTTTGTGTAAGCCATGTAAACAATATTCACTTTTGATGTGCCCTACAAACTCAACGTGGGTATAAGTTTTCATAGAGGTCTTCATCTAATAGAAGATGAGAAGATTGCTCACACTACAACAAAAGTTGCCTATAACCACGTTTGTTAGACAACGTTTTTTGAAAAACGCTGTGGAAGAAAGTGAAATTACGCGTTATCCTTTCTTATAAACACGCGTTCCATTTATAACAGTGCTCACTCTCCCCCAGTCTTTATTTCTCTTATCGTTTTCTCTCACTGTCCTAGATCTAGGGTTTATGTGTCTCTCCTCAGTCTCCTTGAGAGATTCACCAGGTTCGATTGCGATTACTTGTTCAGATCTAATTCTAAATCCATCGATTCTTGAATCGATTTGGTTGAAATTTCTTGACGGTTTTTGTTTTTCTTGATTCTAATTCTGATAATTTTGCAGAGGAAGATAGACCAGTTGAGTGAAGAAGGATCGAGATCAGTGGGATCAAGACAGGAACCGGGACCGAGATCGGTCGAGTCGGAGCAAGGGGAGGAGAGGAGATAAGTTGATTCACAGGAGTAATAGAGAAGATGGTGGTGAGGACAGTTCAGAGGAGAGCGTGAATGATGACGATGACGATGACGATGACGATGGAGTCGCCGCCACCGCCGCGGTGAGGATGTTGCCGCCTAATCCAACGATGTCGATGTCGTCTTCATTACTGAACCACCACCATCAGCACCGGAAGAGCTTTCCTCTGCAACTACAAAATCGTCGATGTCGTCGATGTCATCTTCAAGGTATCTCTTTAATTAATTGTCAATGTGTAAATTTTAAACTTGGCCATCCTCGTTTCATGTCTTTTGCTTGTTTCTGCTATAAATTTGAGATCGTTACAAGCTTTTGAGGCATAATTTGCAGAAGAAGAGCATGGAATCTATGTTAGTTAGGGGAAGTTTTTATGTGTATCAGATCTCTTTTAACCTCCCATCTGTAGCTTTATTCCTTGAAAACCCATGTTTATTGTTTTGGATGATTCTTTTAACCTCCCATCAGGCCACCTTTAAAGTAGTTGATTTGGTGAGTTTGTCCTTTTTTTTTGTTTTTATTTAAAGGTTTGATTGTTTGATGGTACTCGATTATCAATGTTGATGTTTTTTTTTTATATATCAAATTATGTATATGGTTCATAGGATGATTATGCGGCAGATGATGGGGAATATGAGGAGAAGTCGAAGAAAGAGAGTTTGGCATTTTTCTTTTTAGCTACGTGAGTTTTTAATTCGTTTCTTCCTCGTTAATCACATACAGACATGATGTATATATATATCTGATTGTTTGTAACTTTGTGCGTAGGTGTAGCTATGTATTAAATTTATTTTCTTGTTTGTTTGTGCTGTAGATATGAAAATGGTGAGCCAACGGGCAATGCTGCAAGGTTCTATAAATGGTTTACAGAGATAAATTTGAATAATTTCAGTGTATATTGATATTATGGTTCTTTGAGAAAGTAGATTTGGGGGGTTCATTGTTTGTTATATATGACTTTTCATAGGGTAAAGAGAGAGGGGAATGGCTTCAGAATCTTACTTATGGAGTGTTTAGCCTTGGCAACAGACAGTATGAGTACTTTAATAAGGTCTTAATTGAATTTCATCTCATCTTTTTATCAACTTAATGTATATCTATGTGTACATGTAAATGTTGCTAATTGGCTAAGAAGTTTGAATTTGTATGCTGTTGGGAAACAGATAGCAAATGAGGTGGACGAGCACCTTGCTGAGCAGGGTATGTTTACGCCCTTCTAGTGGCCTTTTTTGTCAATTTATGGAAACACTTGTTGTAGTGCTTATTAGTTTGTGATGTGTACTTATTGTGCACTTGTTACCTTGAGTTGGTGTTTAATAAATACGTGTACTTATTGTAATGCTTATTAAGTATTTAACATGTTTAATAAACCCTTGAGTTGTTGATTTTCCCTTTTGTCCGTTACTTTCAGCAACAGGTAGGTTGGTCCGATGGCAATGGAGGCTGAATTTGGAATTTCTACTCCGCGAAACCCTTCTCAGGTTTGATTGAGCCTCTCTTTCTGAATTATTATTATTATTATTATTATTATTATTATTATTTCTCTGCATTTTATAGTTTGATTTGTTTTCTTTAATTCTTTATTACCTTCTTACTGCTTGGATTTGATTTATGCTAATGATGCAAAAGTTTTGTTTTAAACATTGTCAATTCTAAACTTTGACATGTGCAGGGTATAAATTCAATTAGGGAATCTGCACAAGTCTAGTTTTGTTGTCACTACTAGTTTTGAAAAGGATTACTTCTGGTAATTTGACTTTCTAAATCAGCAACTAATATCTGCAGGGGTGGTGGTGGTGGTGACTTGTGCACTCATTGTTTCAGTGCCTGGGAAAAAAAGAAAGACAAAACTAGAAATGGAAGGAGTTCAGCAAAAAGGAAGTCTTGTTCGATATGGATTTTTAACATGAGCTAGTTCAGGTAATGAATTTTTTTAGAACTAAAATTTTTTTAAATTCTTTTTTTAAATTTTTCATACCTGTTTGAGATCTATATATATAAGTGTGAATGAGTGAGTGTGTTTTCTCTGAAAGTTTTAAGTTGTATTATTGGTCTGTCATAAGTTGGGTCACCATACAAGAACAGAAAGGTTCTCATCCAATTCCCATTTGTAGCATTGCTCTGTTTTTGTTGATGTGCAGAGCATTATGAAACTCCGCTTACATCTTGTTGGGTCACCATACTGTTTTTGTATTATTGGACTATCGTATTCTCTTTTTTCTTTTTTGTCTCTTTTTGTAGCTTTTAATTTTTGGTGGTGGCAAAATAAGACACACTCATAGTCAGTAGCAGAACTTCATATAATTGGATTAGAATTATATGACATAATTGCTTCTTTTTATTTTATTTTTATTTTTTTTACATCATAATAATGTGCTAGGCTTTAGAAGCTTAGGTTGTGTTAGAGAGGAGCTGTATTAAGATGTTACACAAACAACTCAGTTCCTACCCTTTTAGCAGTAAGTTTGTAGTTGTGAGAGGGTGGTGACCACCTTCTTTGGTTTGAAGCTTTCCATTGTTTTTGTCAAATATTATCATTGTATGTGGTTAGTAGTTTTTTTTTGGTGAATATGTGGTTAGTAGTTGCTGATTGAATAGAATTGAAAGTGCAGAACATATGCGGAAATGATGTACCTCTGAGCAGTTACAATGGGAAATGAGCAATTACAATGGTAGGTTGTTCTGATTATGAATGTTGCTTCAAAATGGCAAGTGACTTTATATATCCTAGTTAGTCAAATCTATTATATTTACATGGTTAATTTGCCTCTTCTTCTTCTTCTTCTTCTTCTTCTTCTTTTTCTTATTCTCTCTTTTCTTTTGATAATCGTTCATACGTAAAAAATTCTTTTTTTTTTAAATGAAGAAGCTAAGGAAATTGATGTACCACTTGGATGTAGGTTACCTACTTTGTTGCTTGGTATATGACTTCTTGTTTATTGTTTGTTTGAGTTTACAAAGATAATATAGACTACAAAGTTCTTTTAATCATATTCAAGTTGTTCAATTCAAACTAACATAAACTTTTTTGACTTTTTTTGGCTCCCTTTTGCAGTGGCTAAACAACAATCAAACTACAAAGAATTGAACATTTTATATGAAAAATATAAAGATCAAGGTCTGTTAGTTATTCAACTCCAGTTATTTGTTTGTTTCCTTTCTATAATTTCAATGAGTTTGAGGGGTCTTAATCTTAGGAATCAACTAATGCAATGGAAAATGTCGGAGGTATGCTTTTTATGCTTCCATGAATGTCTCATTCAGCATCATGTGTTTCCTTAGCATGGTTGTCAATATTACTAAGCTATACTGATGGTTCACTACTGATGGAGAACAAAAAGGAGTTGGTTGAAAAAAATGGAAGATTAGAATTTTAGTTTATTTGTGAATTTTAATTTATTAATGAAGTCGAATTTGTTTAGGATTTTATTTTTAGTTTATATTTGTTTCCTTATTGGAATTTATTCGTTTGGTTTGCCTATATATTGCTTTGGATGAACTGTTACATCTAGAATTAAAAATTGTTTATGAAGATGCTGATAAAATTTTGAAATTAAAAATTCTTTTGCTGTGTTGTAGCATTCTGGTAATTGCTTTTTTGTACATGGATTTTTATGGAATGGACCAAATGAGGGGTTTTGGTTTTCCTTATTTGTTTTGAATTGTTGTGTTTTTTCAGTGCCATTGTTTTGTCAAAGTTGGATACTCATGATCATGTCATTGGCAAGATGGAACCAAATTATTGGTGCTTGGATTGATGAGTTGGATGATGGTTTTATAAAGATGTACTTTGATGACATTTTGTACGAATGATTGAGATAATTTTTATGCACTATTTTCCCATTTCTGTATAATGTTTTTATGGATGTGTTTGATTACAATATATTGAATATGTAAAAGTTGTGATCTTGTGTCATGCTATATTTCAAGTTGCGTTCTTTGTTAAATTGTTTGACCCTGTGGTGTGTTATGCAGAATCAGTCCCACACACCCCCCCCCAAAAAAAATAAAAAAAAAAGAGTAAAAGGTGGCGTTTTTTTAAAAAAACGCCACTAAATGACGTCATCATGATGTCAAACGTTATTTGTGACGGAATTGTAAGCGGGTGTCAAAGTTTTTGTGGCGTTTTTTAGCGACGTTTTCCAAACGTTGTAAAGCTATTGCAACGGCTGTATCAGCGACGAAAATATTGAACATTGCTGTACTCTTTTATGGCGTTTTTCAGGATTTTACCGGCGTTTTTTAAAACGCCGTTAAAACTCAAAATTCCTGTAGTGTCATGACCTATGAAGTAAGGATCAAAATTTTTGTAATGGTTATACCCTTATATATGATGAAGCCTATAGATATTTTGATTATTCATGATGTCATTATCTAACTTTACATACTGTACATTCATTCGACTTAGAAGTTGAATATAAGGTGTATGTAATCGGAGGAACTCATATAATGAATGATACTATTATATCCATCTCCCTGAGAGATATCACTTTTATTAAGGTTATTATCTTTCTTTTATTATTTAATTGACTTATTCACATGGGTCAAATCTTGAAAATTCAAGATGTGACACCTGCATTACCACCTTAAGCTTGAGGGGGCTGTTGCATATAGTATATATTATGTATACCATAGTTATTATTATACTATGTATTACCATAGTTAGCGTCTTATTCTCCTATATAAATGAGCCTTGTACCAATTCATTATTCAATGAGTATAATAAAGAGTTTCTCTTTTTCTCTCTTTCACTTTCTCTCTCTTTTTCTAATATTATAACATTTACAACTCGACTCGAAAAGGTTTGGAGCCATAACCCCACAGATCCGAGTACTTGGCTTCAAAACGGTTCGGAGAACGTAGAAGTTACTCCATTAGGAGTCCCAAAATACTTGCGGACTTGGAGCCACTTCGAGATTGACACGTCAGAACCATGATGTGGCGAGTCAGAAAATAGACCCTCTCTCGAAGATGAGGAACTTGAAGATAAATTCATTCACCAGTCAAATTAGCCTACACCAAAAGTCAAGGTGGCAGGAGTTAGGAATCCCCTTGGACTTGGCACTATTGCGGCAGGAAGTTCCCTTAGACCACACCTAACCCTTATCTTGGGATGGTGGGATTTGTTAGTTTGGTGGCTAAAGACAAAAGGTTCGTCAAGATAATTCATAAAACCCTCGGACTTCCTATTGTTCTTAGGGATACCCAAGGACAAGACACAAAGTGCTCGGGCTCACAATTACCTCGACTAGGCAATTAGAGAGGGAATATTTCCCATGTGGTTCCTAACCACATGGCATCACCACAATCAATTGTTTGGTTATCAAGCCAATTTTGGGTGTACATATATATCCACCCACCCATAGCTCTTCATAGATGAACCAACACAATAGCAAAACTCTGGAAAGTTGGAATGAAGAGTGAAAGTAGAATTCTATGGGATGCTCTCTCTCTCTCTAGCTGGCTTGCTTTGATCTTTCACCCAACCACCATTTCTCTCCATTTCTTCTTGAATCTAGTTTGACTGTCAACAAATCTCTAGCCTATTCTTTTCCAGTTCCAAATGAAATCATTTTTTCCAGTGAAGTTCATCTTTTTCGGTGACTTTTGAGCTTCCAAGAACCCATCTCATATAGATTATTAGGTAAAAATAACTTAAATAAGCTATAAAAAAAAAAATTGATTATCTAAAATTTGAGGGTGCTTTTTAACTTCTACTTTTTGATTATTAATTTTTAACTTACAACAAACTTTATCAAATAAATAGAATCGGTAATGCTAATCTCATATATATATTGGTATTAATGGGGGCCTAAGCCCAAAAAAATATTACAAAACAGCCCTATGCAAGGATCGAACGCCTTGACAATCACTAGCTAATAAAGGACTCAAAGCAGGAGGCGGCACCCGAAAGATAACATTAGAGGAATGCTGAGATCGAGCTGCCTTAGCCATCCAATCTGCCCAATTCTTGACCTCACGCCAAACAACTTGAAGTTGGCAACGCCAGTTTTTGGCTAATCTCATATTTTTATCTATGCCTTTCACATATTTTTATTGTTAATCTCATTGTCATAGAATTAACCGTATCGCTCTTTCTAACCTATTATTCCATACAATATCCTAGCATAACTAAATATGATGCAAATATTCTCACGACACATGTAATTGATTTTCTATCCTACATATTATTAATTCTGACTTTAATTCTATGATATTACCAATTTCAAACAGTGTCAAAAAATCCAATATGCATGGTCTTGAAGAACTATGTGAATCACCACAATTATTTCCTACCTAATTGTGGATTGGTACATAATCGGACATAGATAGAATGATCCTTTTAAGAACCATTATCAACAACAATATTATATATTCATAAAAATTACTTTAAAAAAATATATCTATTGATCACAATTATTTCAAGTTTCATTAACTTTAAATATGCACTACACAATTTATTTCAAAACAATTTTTAAATACCCTTGTTCAATTTACATAGCATTTTTCTGATATACATATAGTAGCCCTCGTCATTAAGGTACAGGGCCCAACTCTAAAGTGAGGATGATCCTTCTCGTGTACAAAGTTACAAACAAATGATCAACGAAAAAAAGGATAACAAACACAAGAAAGGGGTTGGGAGATTTATTTCATTGTTTCCTTTCCTATCCCAATTCTCCTTTCATTGATTGTGTATATATATATTAACTGTTTACAATTTTAAATTATCATTTATTATTATTTTACCCCATCAATTAAAATACATGCACTTTGTCACCTTGAATTGTTAACCTATATCAATGTGAATGTTTTGTTAAGGATCCTTTTACATAAATGAATGAAAAAAAAAAATTTTGATATGTGACTTGCACAAGATATTTCAGATGTTGCAAAATGCTTAAATGACACACCCCCCCCCCCCCTTTTTTTTTTTCTTTTTTTGTTCTTTTCTTTCTACCCATCAACAAGAATCATGCCAAGCATAGTATACGTTGGCATGGTTGCTGACTTGGGTATGAAAAATGAGAGGGAGAAAGACTAAAGGAGAAAAGAAAAATAAGGTCGTTTTAAGGATTTCACATAATTTTCATCTATTTATGTAACGAATTCTTAGAAAAGGTCACATATATTGATACGAATTGATATTTAAAAGTGACAATGTAACAATTTTTAATTGATGTGATTGAGCAATACTAAGTGATACTTTAATGAGGTGAGATGTAATTTTTTTTATATTTATTTATTAAAAGTCAAAAAGCTCATTAATATTGTTCATAATTATAAAAATATCATTGCAAAATCATAACAACAAACCACTTACATACCCAAGTGTGTGTGATTATAGCACAGTTGAAAAATGATTGCAAGCAAAGTGTTTTTCTCTCTTTCTAGAGCTGAGTAAGCCAATTTCTTGTGCATTTCCAACATCCCAAAATGAAAAGTACCTAGAAGCAGAACTCAAAAAACTGAGTGCTACGCTTCATTAAAATGTTTTTCAAAAATGGAAAACAAAATGATTAATAAAAAATAAATTTAATTGAGAAAAAAGATTTTAACTTTTAAAAGATGAAAAGTAATTTTTTAATTAAAATTTTATTAATGCCACCATCACCATCATCACCCCCACCTCCATCCCATACCACCACACCAGTACCAACACCATCACCCCACCACAACTATTAACACTTCACCACCATTAATATAACCACTAGTAGTACATTAGTTTTCGAATAATGCTATATGCACTAATTGATATACCAATTAGTGTACTAACTGATGATATGCCATAATTTAAGAAGTTTTGTGTTTTGTAATGAGTGGGGTCATAATTTAAAAATATTAATGTCATAACTATGTTAATATACTAATTAGTATAATAATTGATGCGTTTAATATCTGTTATAAATGTTTTGAAAAATCTGGGTAAAAACATAATTTTTTCCAAACTTTGGTCTATTATCTAGGTGGGACCCGTGCACCAAAGTTGGCGGGTCAAAGTGGTGACGCGTTCTATGTCGCGTTGTGATTCACGTGGTATATTTGGTTGTTTAAAACCATTATCAGGTGAATAGGAATTTGAAACCAAAGTGAGCTCCATGGAAATGGAGTTCTTAGTGAAAATTCCTTAAGGTTTGGAAAATGGCTTGTCCCACATTGGTTTGGTAGGAAGAATTTTGTGGGTTTATATAACTTGGAATTATAACTTAGGAAGGGCCCCAAAGGGCACCCAAACTTTGTAGAAGTGAGAGACTATGGGCAAATTGGGCTAGACCCATTGGACCCAAAAGTAACCACACACGCACTGTCGCCGTCCGGGCGGGTTGGGTTGGACTTGTTTGGCCCAATATTAATCTTTTTGAGCCAAAAACATTTGAATTTAATTTTATTTTTTGGTAAAATAAAATATCTGTCGAGAATTGAAATTA